ACTTGGAAGAGGCAGAAAGTACACAGCCTTGCATAGCCCTGGATCTCAGACTCTGGTCTCCAGGGCTATGGGAGAGTAAATTCCTATCATTGAAGCTACCCAGTGTGTGGACCTTGGTCACTGAAGCCCCAGGAAGCCATCTACTTACACACTCATGTGTGTATGTACACACTTGCACATGCATGCACACACATACACTCAAACACATCTTCAGTGTGCTAGGTGCTGGCCTGGGGCCTGGACCTGCAGGGGACAGGTTGATGCTCTCACGGGACTTCTCGTGGGATTTCACTGGGACTTCTTTTTTTTTTTTGGTACCAGGGATTGAACTTGGGACCTTGCACTTTTGAGGCAGGCAGCAGAACCACTGAGCTAAATCCCTGCCCTTCATGGATATGACATTTGGAGGCAAGCAGTGACACATGCATAGGTGTCTTAGGTGTCTTTAACATACACAGCTACAAGGAAGCCTGTAAGAGCAACGCCTGGGTCTACGCAGGGTGACCCTCCACACAAAGATCAGGGCCCAGCCTGGAGGCAGAGGTGGGAGGGGACAGCCTGACAGGAGGCTGCAGGAAGGATGGTAAAGGCCTCTCCCCGGCAGGCAGGTCTGGCAGCCCCACCCCAGCACCCGGGGCCAACGTGTGAGGCTCTACACAAACACATGCATGCACACTTGCACACACATAGCAGGCAGGGCCAGGCCAGGCCTCCTGGCTCACCATCTATGGCCAAGATTTACAGAGCAGCAACAGCACTGGGCTGCCTGGGGAGGTCCCTTCAAATGCCCCAGGGGTGACCTTCAGGACACCAAGGGAAGCAGAGGCAGCCCACCAGGGAAAGGGGTCCCCTCAGCTTCAGGTCAGTGGGGCTTGAGTCCCTCTGAGTTCCTGGCCTTCTTGGGGCAGTAAGGATGGGCTCTGGGAGTGCAGGCTGGGGACCTACCCAGACCGTCAACCCGGAAGACCTAATTCCCCCTAGGGCCGGGGATTTAGCTCAGTGGTTCTGCTGCCTGCCTCAAAAGTGCAAGGTCCCAAGTTCAATCCCTGGTACCAAAAAAAAAAAAAAAAGTAATAATTCCCCCTGACATGGTGTTGCTCTAGGTCCTTGTAGATCTCAGGCCCTACTCCCTCCTCTGGTCCCTGCCAATAACCTGGCAAACCCTTGGGTAGGCTCCTTTGTGGGTGACGGTGCCTGCTCCCTGAGCAAAGGTGCCCAGTTCGGTTAGGATGCAGGTGGCTGCAGCCAGTCCTCCAGAGCTAGGAGGAAAAGGGTGGACTTCGAATTGTGTTGGGGGTGTGCAAGGGAGCCAGGTGGAGACAGCACTGGGGAACTGCAAGAGGGAGCCATGGCAGGTTATAGATCAGGGGCGTCACTCAAGAATATCAGTATCCTCGGCCCAAGCCAATAGGCCAGGAATGTTGCCCTGCATGGGACCAAACGGCAGGGCCAGGCTTGGTGCCAGGATCCCGCCTGTCCCGGGAGCCTCCGGCAGCCCACAACAAGCCCACTGAGGCCACGCAACCTGGAAGACCGCCTGGCTTCTGGGCCGGCCAGTGAGCCATACTGCGCAAGCGCACTCGAGGCAGCGCCGAACGCACCCCCCCCCTGCACCGGAAGTGCGCAGCCGCACTCGGCACAGCTTTAAGCTCCGCCCCCGACGCGCGCAAGGGGGCGTGTCAGGAGGCGGAATCTGTGGCAGGGGCGGGCACGAGTCAGAAGCAGGGACTATAAAAGTGGCGGTAGCAAGCGCGCGCCCGGCTCCTCTCAGCGGCGGCGGCCCAGGCGGAGGAGTCCGCGGTGGCGGCGGTGGCGGCGCTGTTCCCCGCGCGGTCTGCGGAGCGGGGTCCGGGCTGTGCGACGTCGGGCGGCGGCGGCACTGAGGCCCCGGCCCGACCCCGACCCCGGTGAGTTCCCCCTTCCACCAGGGACCCCCGACTCGGGCGCGGGGACCGGGCCCCGCGGAGCCCTCGCCGCCGCCGCTCACCACCCTCCCTTTGTCTGCTCCGCCCGCAGGGTCCCCTCGGCCGCCCCCCGCCCACGGGCCGCCCCCTGGGCCCTGTGTCCCTTCCCCCGCTGGCGGGGCCCGGACAGAAGATGGTGCAGAAGAAAACAGCCGAACTTCAGGGCTTCCACCGATCATTCAAGGTGAGGGCCCTATCGGTTTGGGGGCGCTGCAGGCTGGACCACCGGAGTGGTCGCTGGGGGTGACAGAGCCAGTCCCAGAGGCTCCGGCGGGAGGCGGGGTCCCCCACCCCCTCTCTTGGGGCTGCCCCAGCCCGGGGTGCGCTAGAGTGTGGGGGGGGGCGGTCAGCAGGCCGCAGCCGCGTCCCTGGCTGTGGCCTTCGGGAGTCTGTCTTCCAGGAAACCTGTCTTGTGCCTGTGTGTCCCCTACAAGCCTCAGCCAGATGTATGCTTGGGGTGGAGTGGTGGGGACAGCAGGCCGCAGTCCCGTCCCCCAGCGCCGCGTGTGGTCCCTTCTCCCGGAATTACGGGGTGGCTTGCATACCCTGCCACCCTCAGCTGTTTGTGCACTGGTCTGGAGGAGTCAGCAGGCCCATCCCCACCTCTGTCTGGCCCGTGGGGCCCTTGGTCCAGGAACCCTTGGCCCTGTTGGCGGCCGTGTGAAATGGGGGAGTGGAGAGGATGCCCCTCCCGGACACCCCAAGCCCAAGTGCTATTTCCTGTCTGAGCGGGAAGTTTTCTGCAGTGATCTGGTGGTGGTTGGGGCCACAGAGGCGGCGCAGTGGCTGGCGGCTGCTGAGTCCTGGTCTCAGATGAGCGAATCTGGGGGTGGCTCGGAGGGCAGGTGCTGGGCAGAGGCCCCCATGGGGCCTGGCCCAGGGGACGCAGTGATGTCAGCCTGCCCGCCCCACTCCGCAGGCTGGGTTATGTAATGGCTTGGCTTCCCTGGGCTTCCTTGGGCAGGGACCTGTTGCCCGGTGGAGGAGGCAAGACTTGAGAGTGAGTGTGTATGTGTGTGTGTTGTACACACAGGCTCGAACCACTGTGGGAGGAGCGTGGAGAGTCTGGGAAGAATTCCCAGGCTTGTCCAGCCAGTGTTCCTGGCCAGCTGCCCCACCCCTGCCCCACATGCCTGTCATCCCTGTTTTTCCCTAGGGTGGCCCAGGCCTTGGCCTCCAGTGTCTGGTCTGGGTTCGAGAGGGGTGGGTTTGAAATGTCACCGATGGTGGTCTTTCCTCTGGAGGGAGGGGGTCAATGCACAGGCCAGTGAGGCAGCAGCCAAAGCAAACCCAAGCTTTCTGGATGGTTCCAGCCACCTTCTGCCAAGGCCTGCTGACTCCAGGCAGTAGCCAAAGCCTGGGCGGGCTGGGCTAGGGCAGGCTGGGCTGGGCTGGGCTGGGCTGGGCTGCACCGCACCGCCCACACGGCATGGGACTGTGGCGGGTCTGTATGCAGGGCGGCTGGACGGCTCTTGTCAGAGCTGGGACTGTGGGAGTCCCCAGAGGAGAAGGCCCTCCAGGAAGCCAGGGGCTGTTCGCTCAAGAGTATCTCCACCTCTTACCCAGGCTGCTGTTCCCTGGGGTTGAGGCCACCTCTACTGGACACAGCCCCCCACCCCCCAGGTCTGGAGCACAACAGGTACTTCTGCTAGACCTCTTGGCTTTATTTTTTGTGATGCTGGGGATAGAACCCAGGGCCTGGTGTGTGCTAGTGAGCACGTGACCCTGAGCTGCTCCCCTAGCCCTATTCACCCCCCACCTTTATTTTTCCAGTAGTAGGAATTGAACCCAGGGCCTTTTCATTGAGGTACATCCCTAACTCTTTTTGTCCCGGTTCCCCCCCCCCCCCCCCCCGCCCCGCCGGCTCTGTAGTTCAGGCTGGCCTTGAACTCACTATTTAGCCCAGGATGGACTCGAACTCTCTGTGACCCTCCTGCTCCAGCCTCTCAAGTGCTGGGACTAAAGCGTGTGGCACCATGCCTGGCCCTTTTTTAAATTATGAGATGGTCTTGTTAGGTTGCCCAGGCTGGGCTCTAGCTCACGATCCTCCTGCCCCAGCCTCCCAGAGTAATGGTGTTACAGGTGTTCACCACCACACCTGGCTTTTTTTTTTTGTACCAGGGATCAAACTCGGGTCCTTGCGCTTTCGAGACAGGCATTGGAATCACTGAGCTAAATCCTGGGCCCTCTTTTTTTCTTGTTTTTTTCTTGTTTATTTTTTTGGGCGGGGTACCATGGATCGAACTCAGGACCTTGTGCTTGCAAGGCAGGCGGCAGAACCACTGAGCTAAATCCCCAGCCCCTTTTTTTCTTTTGAAGATGCAAAAACGAAGGCTCCTTGGCAGCACTGGAGTCCCCCTGCACATGGGGGACCCTACCTAGCACCTCAGCTCTGGCAGGTCTGTCCTTCATGGTTGTGGCTCTGTCTTAGCCATCTGTCTTACCCTTTCTGTGGGGATGGTGACCGGATAAGGCCAGAGGCATAGCCTGTGTTCTGAGAGCTGGGGGCAGCTGTCCTGTCTCAGCGTGATAGTCAGGCCCAGTGCTAAGGGCCCTAGGCTGAGATCAGGGAGCAGGTGCCATAGCTGCCCTTTGACCTCGACCTTCATGTCCACCCCTCCTCCTCCTAGTTGCCCCATGTGCGGCGGCTGCTCTGGTGGGGAGCCTTATCAACGTGCACCTGCCTGTCCCCCCACCAGGACTGGGTTGGGGTGCCCTCCTTCTATACTGGCCTCCTAGCAACTATCTGCCAGCGAGGGAGGGTGGGGAGGCATGGTGGCAGAGCCACCTCCCTCTCCACTGCAAGCCTTGCTGGCCTTGGTCTGGAGGAATCAGTGGGGCCCTCTAGGGACTCCCTGGGGTCTCCCAGAGTGAGTTGTCTGCTGAGTAACTGACCCTCCTGTCAGCCCTGCCCGCTGGTTTGGAGGTGAAGAAGAGGGGCAGAGACTTGGCCCAGGTCCTCTGTTGTCAGCACTGGTGTCACTTGCTCCTCACCACATCTCCAGCCCCCTCAGGTTCCTGAGTCTGCTGTCTGGCTCTCAGGATGGGGCAGGCTAAGTGAGACTTGGCTGGGCCTCAGTTTCCTGGCTGGGAAGGCCCTGCCCCTCATGCAGGGGACCCTGGGTCAGGACTGAGTCATTGGTCTGTGCAAACAGATTTATTCCAAAACTCTTCTGTTTGGGGACTAGAGAAAGGTCTCTCTGACCTGCAGTGTCCTTGTGCCAGTCAGGGTCTTAAACCCTCCCACCTATCCCTATCCTGGGCTGTGTCATTTGACTCTTACCCAAGCTCTAGGCCTGAATTGGAGTCCTGGCACCACAAACCCCTCCGCACAGGGTTAGGTATCTCAGTTGGGTACTGGATCCTGGAGGGGTTCCCTCTGTGTGTCAGGCTGACCCAGAACGATGTGGGCTGAGTAGGGCTGGTACACTTGTGCCACAGGTGCCAAGAGTGACCCAGTTGGACCTTGGTCACTACACCAATAGGGCAATGGTGTTTGCCAAACCACTGTCCTCAGTGGGGGCCTGTGGTCCTCAGAGGATAAGGAAGGTGAAGTGGAGACACCCCCAGCCCCGAGCCGCTGGACTCTCAGGACCTCGCTGGGTTCATGGACTCCCCACCTCAGTGCAGGAGCAGTAGTAGGCAAAGGGGAGGCAAAGGGAGAACTGGTGACGGCCCACTTTGCACAGGGAATCTGAGGCCTGCAAAGCTGAGGACCATGCCCAGAGCCACTCAGCTGGGGCTCAGCTGTCCTGAGACAGCCCAGGAGGCTGTGACACAGCAGACTGGGAACCTAGTTACACTCTTGCTGGCTGGGGATACGTCCCCATTCTCCGGATGAGCAGACTGAGGTACCAGACATGGCTTGGGCCCCGTATGACTCAGGCCAGAGGGAGAAGTCAGGCAGAGACCTCTCTGCCTATGCATGTGGCCATTTGGGACCAGATTGTTATCTGGGGTGGGCATTCTGGGCACTGCCGGGTGGTGAGAAGTGTCCCTATCCTCCACCCACTCTGTGGCAGCAGCACCCCCAGTTTTGACAACCACAAATGTCCCTAGACATGCCCTAGTGTCTCCTGGGGAAACTAGGTTATTAGAACCTAGGAGCCCCGGTGTCCCATGATCACTTGCCTTGCTGAGGTCCTAGACTGCTACCTACAGTGACATCCACAATGAGTGGAGTAGGAGAGAGGGGTCAGGCTCAGACACTGGGTCCCTGGGTCACACCGCCTGTCCCAGCAGGAGTTCTACTGTCCAGTGTGTGTAAGGGGCATGCTTGATTTTTTTTCCATGTGGGGCACTTCGCCTTGGCACCGTTGGTGATGAGCCTGAACCTGCTTTCTTCTCTGGTCCTCTGCAGGGGCAGAATCCTTTTGAGCTGGCCTTCTCTCTAGACCCAGGCCACCACAGGGACTCTGACTTCAGCCCACCGTGTGAGGCTCGCCCTGGTGAGGGTCCTGGGGAGAGCGGATGAGGGCTGGGGATCGTGGGGAGATGGGACAGTCTGGGTGGTGCTGAGCTCCTCCTGAGCCAGTGGTATGCATGGTACAGACATGCCCACCAGCCAGCCCATCGACATCCCAGATGCCAAGAAGAGAGGCAAGAAGAAGAAGCGGTGCCGTGCTACTGACAGCTTCTCGGGCAGGTTTGAAGGTGTGTGGGGTGGCATCGGGTGGTGGGGAGGTGGAGCCATGGTGGCAGCCATGGCCCTCACCCTCCTGTGCTCCCCAGATGTGTACCAGCTGCAGGAGGATGTGCTCGGGGAGGGGGCCCATGCCCGCGTACAGACCTGCATCAACCTCATCACCAACCAGGAGTATGCGGTCAAGGTGAGCCCTGCCCTCCCTCACAGCCGCCCTGGGCACTGGCACCCACCTGCCAGGAGGGGTAGTGGCACTGGAGCTTCCAGACCACAGCCAGGGAAAACCAATACCTAAAAATGGACCTGGGACCTGGTGACTCAGGCCACCCCTGAGAATCCAGGTCAACCCTACTGAGCCTCCACAGCCACCGGGAAGTGACAGTGAGGGCTGGCCTCTGCCCACGCCATGGTCTGGTAACCAAGGACCTGGTGCCAGGGCAGCTGCCAAGAGCCTAGGGTTTGGGTCAGAGGCCAGTCCTCCACCTCTGAGCTTCCCCAAAGAGGACACCTGCTGGGAGGATTGGTCACAAGAACCCAAAGACAGTGGCATCATACCTAGGTCCCAGAGGGGCGGCCGGGGCGGGGGAGCTGTGCATTTGGAGGAGCCCCATGCATGTCCATGGGAGCTTCCTATGGGTCCCCTCCCCACCCACATGACTTCTCAGCCCTGGGTGTGTCCACACAGCCCGAAAGCCAATCCCTGGTCTGGCCTCCTGACCTTGCACGGGCAGCTGGCCATCCCCTGTATTCTGAGAAACCGTCTAGGCTCTCTTTGTGACCTCACATCCGGCTCCTGACTGGGCAGGGTGGCAGAAGGGCTGGCTGCCCAGGAAGGAGGCCAGGTGCTCCCTGATGAGGGGGGCCCAGGTGGACAGCCAGTGGCTGCCGCTTGAGGGTGACAGGAGAGGTGGCTGTCCTGTTTGTGTAGCGAGCCTCGTCGGTGAAAGATGAAGGAAGGCCCCGGGCTAGGTGCAGTGGCTGCAGTGGGGGACCTGGTTCTAGGGCCTCACAGGAGGGTGGGGTGAGAACAAGGCAGGTAGCCTGAGCCATTTCTCCTTAGTGGTCCTGTAGAGCAGTCTTCCTTCCTGTTCTTGTTTGACAGAGCAGGAAACTGAGGCTCAGAGAAGGTAGGTACCCTGAGCCACCCTGCGTGGCCTCGTGGTGGGTCCTGCCCCCCCAACTGCCTCCCATCACCTTTCGGTGACCCAGTGTGGTCCATACTGGGATCTGGGGGCCATGGAGGTTTCCTAGTGGAAGTGTCAGGTAGGCACTGATGTCTCATGGCCATGAGAGAAGGAGGTGTTCTGGGTGCAGGAGACAGGAAGAAGTGGGGACTCAGGCTGTCCAGGAGGTTTGAGGAACGGTGGGACCTCTGTGGCCAGGGCTCCAGGCACTTTTATCTGGAAGGAGCTGGCAGTTGGGTAGGAACCCTGCAGTGACTTTGCAGAAGGTGCCCTTCTGAAGCAGGGGTTGTAGCCTCTTTCCAGAGGGACAGGATGAGGTTCGGTTTAATCACTCCTTGAACCTGGCGCTCAGCAGCTACTCAGGTGACGGTGGTGTCTCCCGAGCCCCTTGCTGGGACAGGTGTGTGTGCTGCTAGACACATAGGTGGCAGGACACAGCATACACCTACATATTAGACCACTGTGGTTGGCAGATACCCTGGGCATGGGTAGTCACCCAGCCTCATAATCACTCATTTAGGGCCTCAAGTGTCCAGCTGGGGGAAGAGGAGCCCAGGGTGCCGGGAGAGCTGGGAGGCTCCTCTGACCAACCCTCTGGGGGCCTCCAGGGAGCCGGCGCTGGGGTTCTGGGAGGTTGAGCCAGGGCTGGCATGAAACAGACCTGGGCTCATGGGCAGGTAAAGCCATCACCCAGCCTGGTGTGGAGCCAGAGAGGCAGACTCAGCGGCGTTGCAGGCACAGACCACAAGGAGATTGGCTGGGCTGGCAGCCAGGTGCCAGGAGGCTTGTCTAGTTCTCTGGGTCATGTGGGAGCCAGCTGCACTCCCAAGAGCTATGGTGCAGGGCATCTGTCCCAGGGTCCCCACACCTGTAGCAAGCTCTGGAGGCCTGTCCAGCAGAGTGGAGGGCTGGTCCAGCCTGTTCTCCTACCTTTCCCTCCCCGCCTCGCTTTCCCTTCCCTGGAACCTGCAGGCCGGGAACATGGTGCCCCACCCCCAGTCTGTGCTGACACCACACTTCTGTCTTCCAGAAAATTCTGGGCCCCACATGCAGCTCTGCTTTCCAAAGCTGAAAAGCCTTAGCTTGGTGGTGGGATTTCCAGAGGGATCCGGGGCAGGCTTCTGTGGGGGTAGTGGGTGGCGTGTGTCCCTCACCTATTTCAGATCATCGAGAAGCAGCCGGGACACATCCGAAGCCGGGTGTTCCGGGAGGTGGAGATGCTGTACCAGTGCCAGGGACACAGGTAAGATGGCCTGCCTTGCCACAGCACCAGGCCCCAAGCCATTTTTCTGTGAACAGATGCTCCTCACCCAGAAGGGTGTTGTTACCCGGGCCCTCCTTGGCTGGGCTGGGTGGGTGGGCCCAGTGGCAGGCAGCTGGGGTCAGTCAAGGGGGCGGGTCCCAATTCCCAGCCTCCCTGTGGCCCACTGAGCACTGGGAATGTGGCTCAGGAAGCCTCAGTTCCTTTCCTGTCCCCGCCCCTCCCCCAGGAACGTTCTAGAGTTGATCGAGTTCTTTGAGGAGGAAGACCGCTTCTACCTGGTGTTTGAGAAGATGCGGGGTGGTAGGTCGGGGGGCCTTCTGGTTGGGGGGTGGAGGTGCTGGTTCGCACAGTCTGGGGGCTCAGGGGCCCCAGGAGTGACTTCTCCACTGTCCTAGATACTGGAAAAGGCCTGTGGGACCAGTTTTCTGTCTACACTGTAGCTCAGGGTCAGGGACTTCCGGCTCAGGGAAACCACTGGGGGGCATGCCTACTGGGGTGCAGGGGGCTGCTGGAGAGTGGCCTAGGGACCTCGGACGTGACCTGTGTTCTCCTTGGTCTCGGCTTCATCCCAGGGTCCATCCTGAGCCACATTCACAAGCGGCGGCACTTTAACGAGCTGGAGGCCAGTGTGGTGGTGCAGGACGTGGCCAGTGCCTTGGACTTCCTGCACAACAAAGGTGGGCCTAGGGCCTGCAGGGTCCCTGTTGGTCCCGGCCCAGGGCCAGCCCCACCCATTGGAACCCCATGTGGCTTCCCCCCAGGCATCGCCCACAGAGACCTAAAGCCGGAGAACATACTCTGTGAACACCCCAACCAGGTGAGGATGACCCCCATCCCGCTTGGGCAGGTGGCCCCAGGAGTTTCCCCCAGGCGACCATGCCGGACCCCTGTCAGCCCCCTGTCACAATACCCTGTCCACCTCCCAGGTCTCTCCCGTGAAGATTTGCGACTTTGACCTGGGCAGCGGCATCAAACTGAATGGAGACTGCTCCCCCATCTCCACTCCGGAGCTTCTCACTCCGGTGAGGGCGTCCAGGGTCAGGGCCACCCCCAGAAGGGTTCGGGGAGGCCTGGGGGCCCTGGGGGAACAGAGGCATTGGAATGCCTGGACTTGCATAACCTGGAGATGTCTGTGCTTGCTCTGCAGCCTGGACCCACACTGCCAGCTTCCCCTTAGCAACAGCTGTTGATTGGCTGGGCAGGGGTGGTGGGTGGGGTGGGCATGGTGGGGGCAGGGCGGGCTCCCAGTAGTAGCTGCTGGTTGGCCGGGCAAGCAGGGTGGGGCGGGGCCCTGGGCTGTCAGGGTGGGGCAAGGTGAGTTCTGGGCATGCTAATTGGGTGGGCCAGGCTCCAGCAGCGGCTTCTGAGTGGCCTGGTCGGCAGGTTGGGAGGAACCGTGATCCGCTGGCTGTGGGGTGGGCTTGCAGGAGGACCCCAGAGCTGCGGTGCGGCCTCAGCTAAAAGCGTGCTCTTGGCCTTCAGTGCGGTTCTGCTGAGTACATGGCCCCTGAGGTGGTGGAGGCCTTCAGCGAGGAGGCTAGCATCTACGACAAGCGCTGCGACCTGTGGAGCTTGGGCGTCATCCTCTACATCCTGCTCAGCGGCTATCCGCCCTTCGTGGGCCACTGTGGCAGCGACTGCGGCTGGGACCGTGGCGAGGCCTGCCCTGCCTGCCAGGTGACCCCAGGCCTGGCCCTGCGCTCCCTGTCCTCGCAGGGGCCATCCATGTACCCAACACCAGTCACTGACCAGCGTCCCAGCCATGCCAGGCCTCCTTCCTGGGTTCCCCAAACCAGGGAGGAACTACACATGTGGGGCAGAGGCTGAGCTAGCTGGATGTTCATAACTTCTATCCCCTGGAGCCAAACCTCCCACCCCCAAATTACTTTTACTTTTATAAATCTAGTTGAATGTGGGTAGAGCCTGAAAGCCTCTTCTAGCTGGGTGTGGTAGCACATGCCTGTGATCCCAGTGCCCTGGGAGGCTGAGACAGGAGGATACGTGATACATGTTCAAGCTCAGTCCGGGCTACTTCGTGACTTAGTGAGTCCCTGTCTCAAAAAATTAAAAAGGGCAGAGGATATAGCTCAGTGGGAAGCACCTGGGTTCAATCCCCAGTTCTGTAGAAAAAGCTGTCCCCAATGTCTGACCTTTCCCTTTGCCCTGCAGAGCCTCACCCTGCCAGCTGGCCCCGGGACCTAGGCCATCTCCAGCCCTCTGTTCACTCTGCAGTTTGGTGACAGGTCCTACCTCCTTGCCATCTGTAGCATCCAGATCTGTCCACTTAGGGTGCAAGGGACATGGCCCTGACCGTGTGTGCTGCTCCTGACCCCTCGCCCCTCCTGCCCCCAGAACATGCTGTTCGAGAGCATCCAGGAGGGCAAGTATGAGTTCCCCGACAAGGACTGGGCCCACATCTCCTTTGCCGCCAAAGACCTCATCTCCAAGCTGCTCGTCCGTGACGCCAAGCAGCGACTGAGTGCTGCCCAAGTCCTGCAGCACCCCTGGGTGCAGGGGGTGAGCCCGGGATTCAAGGACCTGGGGTGGGTCACTGATGTCCACTCGGGCCTAAGGCTTAGCCCTGGGCCAAGGGTTGGAGGCAGAATCCCCACTGCCCTGACACTGAGGTCAGGGACTCATGGGAGTAGCTGCTCAGGCATCTGGACCTGGCAGGAGTTAGGCGGGGGGCAGGTGCCAGTGAGCCTGGCAGAGCAGGGCCTGGTCAGGGTCATGGCAGCCTCTGGCCGAATGCCCTCAGCCAGAGCCCACCCTGGCCCCAGTGCTGGCTTGGGCTCCACTCCAGGAGGGGCTGGGCTCTCCCAGCTCAGGCCTCATAAGAGCCCAGCTGCCACCTCAAAAGAGCCAGGCCACCAGGCAGTGGGCTCAGCTAACACAGAGGAGGGCTGGGAGCTGTCAGGAAAGGCATTTATTTGGAGCCTCTGTGCCTACCTCCCCAGTGCTGCTGGATTCCTCCATCATTTGCCACCCTGCCTGGCCTGACTCAGGTACCCCAGGCTCCCCGGGCTGGTCCACAGGGACCTTGGGGGGCTGGGTGGGGCCTGGTGCACTGGGTGGCCAGCTGCATTCCTGGTCCTGGAGGTGGACTTGGGGGCCTCCCTTGATCAGATCCCTGTTAGTCTTTGAGGACACAAGAGCCAACAAGGGACCTGGGGCCAGTCCTGGCTGGGTTGGGGTGCTGTCTGGCCGCTGACTCTTGTCTACTTGCAGTGCGCCCCGGAGAACACCCTGCCCACGCCCATGGTCCTGCAGAGGTGAGGCCTGCACCGGCTCGGAGTCTACAGTGGGACATAGTGCTCAGATGTTTTTTAAAAGACCAGAAGTCAGTGGGGTATGGTGTCGCACGCCTGTAGTCCCAGCACTCTGGAAGGCTGAGGCAGCAAGATCACAAGTTCAAGCCCCATCTGGGAAACTTAGTGAAACCTTGTCTGAAGCAATATAAGAGGGGCCAGGAGTATAGCTCTGTAGAAAGGTCCCGGGTTCCCTCCCTAGTACAGGAAGAAAAAGACCAAAAGAGCCTCTTTAAGTGAGAAGGGCCATTTCATGCTTGGCTGTCTTTGTCCCAGGTGATTGGATAGAGCTCCCAACTGGTGTCGTGGTACCCAGAGTCGCCCCAGGGTGGGGGACAGATTTTGCAGCTGCCAGGGGTCCCCAGAGGGGAGCGACGAAGATTGCATCCATCCTCAGTGACGCCTCTGCCCTGTGCCCTAGGAACAGCTGTGCCAAAGACCTCACATCCTTCGCAGCCGAGGCCATTGCCATGAACCGGCAGCTGGCCCAGCGCGAGGAGGACGCAGCTGAGGAAGCGGCCGCGGGGCAGGGCCCACCAGTCGTCATCTGCGCTACCTCACGCTGCCTGCAGTTGTCCCCACCCTCCGAGTCCAAGCTGGCCCAGCGGAGGCAGAGGGCCAGCCTGTCCGCTGCCCCTGTGGTCCTGGTGGGAGACCACGCATGACCCCTTCCCGGCTGCCCCTGTACATAGGTTGCCCCTGCCCCATCAGATCTGAAAGGTTTTAAGCTACGGCCAGCAGGGGCCAGGGCAGCCCTCCCCTGTGGCTGCTTCCCCAGGCCCAGCTCAGCTGGGGGTGGATTTTTATAGAAGGTTTTGCTGTTCATTTTTTCCCCCAGTCCCCCTCCTCCCATCTTTTGTTTTTATGTGTTTTGTCCTTTTAACAATGTTCCAAACAAGTGCCCGGGGAGGAGAGCAGAAGCCTTGAGGCCGGGAGTCCCCCGCCACTGCCCCGTGATGTTCACCTGTACTGTGAAGGTCTCCACCCCACCCAGTCACCTGAGCCCCTTCCTCCCACGTTACCTGCCTCCAGCCACTTTGCCGTCTTCCAACACCAGGGGGCGCACAGGGCCCCCAAGCCCCCTTCCCAGCCCTTGGTATTTTCAGGAACGGTCCCCTCCACGCCCGAGGGCAGGGGGCGCCCCATCTGTAGGCAGGGTGGATGGCCACTACCCCTATTCCTGAGCTCCCGCCTGCCCTCTCCCCGAATTGACAATCGGGGTTCTTCCCAGGCCTGTCTGAGCAGGCCCATGCCAGCTGGTCATGGCCTCTGACCTTGAGTTTATACGACAGCTAATTGGGGTCACAACACACCCCCAGGACTGAAGCTGGACCCTAGTGTCTGCCATTTGCCCCTGTCCCCAGCCAGCCCCAGCAAGGTGGATGGGGGGCTCACGCAGGTGTCCATCTGCTAATGTGGGGCCCAGAAGTGTCCCTACCCCCTTTGGGCACCCTAGTGCCCCTTCTCAGGGCTCAGTCTGGCCACAGCCATGTTCTGCCCCACACTGCCCTGGGTCTGGCCTTTGAAAGCTCTGCTGCCCCCATCCCCATTCTTGGAGCTGGAGCTGGAGCTGGAGCTGGACTTGGGGTCCTCCAACAACTCTCCCACCATACTCCCCCCAGGGCAGCAATTTGGCTGTACCCTCATTCAGGAAATGGGCTGAAGCTGCCTCAGCCTCCCGTGGGGCACCCAGAAATGGTCAGGGAGGGTCCCCTGGGTGCCCCCTACATTTACCCCCAGCTCTAACCAGGCACCTGGTCAGCCTGCCTGAGGGCAGGGGAGCCTGGGCCACTCCTGTCCTTGGCTGGCCATGAACTACTATGCAATACGAGTTCCCATTTTCTACGTGCACGCGTGGCCCTGCAGGTTGGGGGGGGGCACCTGGGCCCCGATATGCCCTGCCCACCCTGGCCCAGGGTCTGCTCAGGTGTCTGGGCCAGGGCAGGGCCTCCCCCTTGGCCTCCAAATCCGTGGTCGGGATTGTTTGTTGTGTTTAGTTTTTTTAAAAAAGAAAACAAAAAGTATCTGACTTGCTTCTCTGTTCTTGAAGAATACTTGAATGTCGAGGGGCCTTATGGGTAGGGGGCTTGGACACTGCCGCCCCACCTTCACCCTCCCCCCAAGTCTCGTGTGATTGTCAGTCTGGTGGCAGGCAGGGGTGACGTGCCCTCTCTGGTCCTCTGCCTGCTTATATCCATGGACTGGCCTTTCCAAAGACCCGGGAGCTAGGGGAGCTGCCTGGTCCTGCCCCCCGCTTTCTTGCCCATCTATGGTCCCACCTGCCTGGGGGTTCTCAGCTTTCTCTTGTAAAAGAACAAATGGACCTTTCCCCGCTCCAGGCACCGTGACCATTGGATTCCGGAACACAGGGCAATGAGCAGCTTCTGATTTTTGTGTTTTTTCTCCCAAGAGGTGAAACTGTCACTTTCTGTCCCCCGTGTCGCCTCCACACTGCGACAGAGAGGACTGGTCAGAACCGTTACTGTGAATGAGTGGATGACCCTGCAGCAGCAGCAGCGCTGGCTGGGGAAGGGGACAGCCACTGCCAACATTGACGTGTTAAAGAAGACACACTTCGAAAATTTTTTTAAAAGTGGGACAAGGACATCCTAGCACTTTAAGCAGCGTTGTACCAGGTGAACAGAGCACAGAAGTTTTCCTTTATACCAACTGTCAATGCCAGAATTTTGTATTCTGTTTTGTAAGGATTTAATAAAAGTCAAAAACCTGGCTTTCTTCACTGCTGCTCTGCTCAGCGCTGCCTCTGCCATACCTGGCCTGAGTTGCGGTGAGGAAATGTAGTGTGAGTTGGGGCTGGAGGGCACCGGGGCAGGTCTCTTTCTGCCAGGGTGTCTGGGACAGTTGAGAAGGATTAAGAGCAAAAGCTGGGTTCTTAAATGGGCATGGTGGCACACACCTGTCAGCCCAGCATTCTGGGAGGCTGAGGCAGGAGGATCGCAGGTTCCAGCCCAGCTTAGGCAACTTAATAATTTAGACCTGTCTCAAAAAGTAGAAAGAGGGCTGAGATAGGTAGTTCAATGTAAAGGCCTTGGGTTTAATCCCCAGTACTGGGGTTGGGGGCTGGACTCTTCCTGTCTCCCCTCACCCGGTCTAGGGTCCCCCACTGATCTCAACAGCATAGTGGCTGTGACAGGGCCCCCATGTGGTTTGGGCTTCCTCCTAATGTGGCAGTTTGGTATTGGCCTTGGGACCCAGGGAGACTCAGCCATAATTAAGCTCTTGCTGTATGGAGGCCTCTGAGCAGAAGTGTGGGGGGACAGGAGGTGAGCTGGACAGCCAAGGGGTGGTGGCTTCATATCCTAGGGACAAGGAGGGCATCTTGGAGGCTGGAGCTGAAGGGACAGTGTAGTTCAGTGGTTAAGGACGGCAACCTCGCTGAAGGTCCAGATGCCTGCATGCCTGCATTTTTGGACCCATACAGATTGAATTCTGAGAGCCACCCTGTGAAGTTTCCAGCAGGGCCAGGTCACACAACAACAGAAGGGATGATGCAACCGCTGCAGGGACTGGAAGGGGCAAGGTTTGGTGTCTGGAGGGGTGGGTCTTGGAACCTTGGGGCGTGGCTTTGCGGAGAGGGCGTGGTTTGGGCCATGGGCGGGGTTTGAAACCGGGCTAGACTCGGCCTGAGGCTGGAGGGCTGGGCCTGAAACCCGGAGTGGGGTGACCTGTTGTTTGGATGGGTGTGGAAACAGGATGGGCGTGGAAGGAACAGTTACCTACAAACTGGATGGACGCTAGACGGGAACAAGTGGGGTGTGGGGGACTTGCCAATCACGCAGCAGTGGCTGGGTCCCAAAGAAAATGGGAAGCCCTTGCAGCTATTTATTTTTGGCGATACTGGAGATGAACCCAGAGCCTTCACATTTAGCTTAGTAGCTAAATCCCCAGCCCTTTTATAAAAATTTTACAGTCTCTCCCACTAAGTCACTAAGTTGTCCGAGCTGAGCTTGAACTTGGTAATCTCTTGCCTCATCCTCCCAGAGTGGTGGGATGACCGGAGTGTTCCTCCACGCCCCGTTTAGTCTCCTTAGCCCCATACATCAGCATGTCCTGCCATCTTTTTACATGGCTGCCCAGGTCACAAGCCTGATCAGACGTGTTCTGGATGTGACAAGATCCAGCGAGCTTGCAGGTGCCTCTTCCCCGGCTGGGATGTGTGGCACTGAGCACCAGCTGGGTACTGGGCCATAAGCAGGCAGCCCTGATCACGCAGCCTAAGAAGATCGCCTGGTTTCTCCAGTTCCGGGATTTTCCTGCCACTCTGCAAGAAGACAGACGTGGAAGAGGGCGGGCACAGGCCGGCTGAGCTGAAACCACAAAAATAAAATGTAGAGCAATGGCTCTGAGGACAAGCTGTCCCTGGCAGGCAGTAGGGGCAGAGAGCGGTCATTGGCGAGGCCTGGCAGGGCCCGGCAGGGTGTGGTGCTGCCTGGGAGGCAGAGATTGGGCATGTGATACTCCACCATGGCCTGTGTGCACACACACACATACAGACTCAGTCCAGGACAGGAAAGGAACAAGGAAACAGGCCAGAGAGCCCTGGGGATGGCAGGAGGGTGAGGGCTGGGCAGAGACCAGCTGTTCTTCCTAATTCCTTCCATCCTTTCTTCACTCAGTATCTGTTGAGCAAACACTCTGCGATCACAAACAGTTGTCAGAGCTGGAAATGGTGATGCACACCTGTAATCCTGGCACTGTGGGAGGGTGAGGCAGGAGGATCACAAGTTTGAGTTCAACTTAAGCAATTTAGCAACCTAACTAGACCCTGTCTCAAAATAAAAGAATAAAAAGGGCCTGAAGATGTAGCTCCAGCAAGAGGGCCCTGGGTTCCATCCCTAGGGCCAAAAAATAAAGAGAATAAAAGGGTGGGGCCAGGGACTTAGCTCAGTGGTTCCACTGCCTGGGTGGAAAGCAGAAGGTCCTGATTTTGATCCCTGGTACAAAAAAAAAAAAAAAAAGGGTGATTTGTGGCTGAGGGCTGGCCTTGCATGTGGGAGCTCCTGGGTTTGTCCCCAGCACCAGGGAAAAGAAAGAGGGGTAGGAGGGTTGTGTGCTGTGAATTTCCCCCAACCAACATTAAAATGGCCATGGCACAAAGCCTGCAGAGGGTTTGGTACACAGTAGGTGCTCAATAAATCCGCCAAGGAATGATTGGACCGCAGGGGTGGAGAGGAGTCCAGCATGACGACCTGCTCCCTCCTAATCGTCCTGTGAAGCCTCCTTGCAGACCACCCCATCTTGGTCTCATCTTCAGTTGTCCCTGTCACCAAAGGAAACCCATGGGCTACTGTGGTATTGGGCTCACCTGGAAGGAGGAGAAACTGGTTTTAAGGTGAAACATGTAGGAATCAAGTTAGACAAGAAGTGGGACTTACCATGTTGACCAGGGCTGGGACAGAGTGAACTTAGATGGACCAGGAGGGCCGGATTCCATGGTCAGGTGTCCAAGAGAGGTTGGGTCTGCCCTGCCTGCCTGGCTCCCAGCTGGGATTTGGGTGGATGAATGGAGTTCAGTAGGTTTTTGGAGTCCGTGCAGATTTGTTGTGGGATTCTGGAGCCCTTCTCTGGACGGGTCTTCCCTCTACCAAATAGATCTTTCTTTTTCCTTTGCAATGCTGGGAACAGAACCCAGGGCCTCACGCATCCCAGGCAAGCACTCACCACTGAGCTACAGCCAATCCTTTGGAGTTTTTGTTCTGAGACAGGGTCTCATTAAGTGGCTAAGTTGTCATGTCTGAAGATGGCAGCCTCTGTAGCAAGGGGTGTTACGGCGCCTTGTGTTGGTGGTCCGGTTGCTTTTGCCAGGAAAATTCCCTGGACTGCAGCATTGAATGAGCTGCGAGAACACTTTGGTCAGTGTGGCCATATACGAAGGTGCACTGTTCCCTTTGATAAAAAGAGTGGCTTTCAGGCCAGCCTCTGACCAGAGGCCGAGACGGAGGCATGGTGGTGATGATGACGGCCTGCAGAGCCAGTGAGAAGGAGAAGCGACGGTGGCTACCCTGAAAACCTTGACCTTGAAGAAGGTGAGTAACCAGCCAAAGTACCATCCAATACAGAAGGTAGGCAGAGGCAGTTACGCTGTTGTGCACAAAGCCATCATACACTTCTGCATGGGTTGCAGTGAAGAAAATTCAATGCTACGCACCCAAAAATGTTGAACTAGCCGTTCGTGAGTTCTGGGCACTAAGCAGTATCAAGAGCCAACATGAAAATGTGATTCACTTGGAGGAATGCACCCTACAAAAAGATGGGATGGTGCAAAAGATGTCCCACGGCTCTAATTCTTCCCTTTACTTACAGCTTGTAGAGACTTCATTAAAAGGAGAAATTGCCTTTGATCCCAGAAGTGGCTATTATTGTGGTTTGTGATGGATTTTTGTGATGGAGGAGATATGAATGAATATCTGCTGTCCTGAACACTGAATCGTAAAACTAACACCAGCTTCATGCTTCAGCTGTGTGGTCCTGGGTTTCTTGCATAAAAACCAGATCATCCACCAAGATCTGAAGCCCAGTAACATCCTGATTTCTCAAAGCAGATTGGATACAAGTGAATTGGAACCCATCTTGAAAGTGGCTGATTTTGGTTTAAGTAAAGTTTGTGCAGCCTCTGGGCAGAACCCAGAAAGAACTTGTCAGTGTAAAGAAGTGTATCCTTTCCACCGCAGGTGGAATGGATTTCTACACGGCACCTGAAGTGTGGGAAGGACACTACACAGCGAAAGCTGACATCTTTGCTCTGGGGATCATCGTCTAGGCAATGCTGGAAAGGATCACATTCATAGACACACACAAAGAAGAAGCTCTTGGGGGGTTATGTAAAAGAAGGAACTGAGATTGTGCCTATTGTGGAGGAACTTTTGGAAAATCCCAAAATGTAATTTCTCATTCCTGTGGGGGAAAAAGTCTATGAATAAATAAAAATAAATAGATAAAGAAGTAAATAAAAAAAAAGTCTATGAATGGGTGAACGAAACAACTGATCAAGGAAATGCTGGCTGCAAACCCTCAGGATCCCCCAGAAGCTTTTTTTTTTTTTTTTCGTACCGGGGATTGAACTCGGGTCTCGGGTCCTTGCACTTGTGCAGCAGGCAGCAAAACCACTGAGCTAAATCCCCGGCCCTGCCCCAGAAGCTTTTGAATTAGAACTCAGATTAATACAAATTGCATTTAAAGATAACAGCTGGGAGGGCCGGGGATTTAGCTTGGTGGTTCCACCTTGACTCCTAAGTGCAAGGACCCAAGTTCGATCCCGATACCAAAAAAAAAAAAAGATAACAGCTGGGAATCATGATGGATTATTTGCAAATATCTCAGATGATTTGCTGCTTCTGATTTAACAGTGATGCAACATTATGTGGCTGAAAAAGGATACAAAAAGCTAATTCTGCATTCTAAAGGTTTAGATTTTATTGTGGGATGTTTCTTTTTCTTTATTTTTCTGAATTCAAGCTGGCCATCTTATTAGTATGTTTTAAATGTTTATTACCAATGTAAGTGTAAAAAAAATTTTTAAATGACCATTGGTGGAAGTTTGGTGGGAAACTTCTCTAAGAGTCCAGTTTTCTGAAAATGTCGCTGAAGTATTTTAGACATTCCTCCTCGTCAGTATTAGGCATTTCCATGGAAGAGTTTTTCGTGCTGGTAATGCAACCTTTGAAGCTTTGTAAGGGAAACATATATGTATATATTTATGTATATGTAAGT